CCCACCTTGCCACCCCCATCACCATCCCACCCGCCACCCCACCAGCCACTACACCACCCCGGCCACTACCCTACCCATTCGGGCTCCGAGTACCCCTGACCCCCCATCCCCGGATCCCCCTACCACCACCCTGACCCCTCGACCCCCCACTCCCCACCCCCACCCCCCACCCCCAATCCCCCTACCACCGCCCAACCACCCCCGATCCCCTACCCCCCCGGCACCATCTCGACCTCCCCCCACCACCCTACCCCACCTCGACCTCCACCACACCCATCACCCCCGCCCCACCACCAACCACCTACCCCACCACTCCGACCTCTCGATCCCACCCCCTCCCACCAACCTCATAGTGTTTGCTACATTAAATATAAATGCTTTTAGGATTATGTACATTTTCTATTTACTTACCAAACACTAGAAAGTAAGTAGCAAAAAATAGAGCCACTTGATTTGCGGTAAAATATTTTTCTTTATAGCAAACACATCCGTACTTCCCTTTTTTTTTTTCCACTTCTAATAACAACTAAGCAGAGTTTCTTGCAATAAAAAATGGCTCTGTTAGTGCCCTTGTATTATAGGATTAATTAGTGTCTTACAGGCTTACAGCTAAATCATCATGCTTATAGTGAAACACAAACAAAAGAGGACAGAAACAAAATAAGAAAAATTACAAAAGTCATAAGGAAGGTTTATTAGTAGCATGTTATAGAGTTCATATATATGGTTTCATCTCTCCAGGTTTTGATTTTGGATAAGAATTACTTATTACTTTCTATATGTGATCTATAATTATCTGTCTTGAACAAAATCATTAAAAGGAAAGTTAAAATGTTGAGTCAATATAGAAAACACAAGACGGCTCACATCCTAATTCTGTAGCATATATTAGGGTAAAAGTACAATATGTTGCAATTTGAAAGTTCCAAATATCACCATTTTCTTTCGAGCTTTTCTGCTTTCCCTTTATCCCAATACTGACATATATATATATATATATTCTCATATTCTTACAAGTATGTACACCTCAAGAATCAAGATCATCTTTAGTGGCAAGACACCCTTTACTGAGCGGTGTTATCTGACACCACTTGGCAAAACAATTCTCTTAAAATGTTAATACCATCAAAGTTTCACTCTTACAAGTCAGAACTATGACAATAAGCCGATACTGCTTGTGTAAAATTTTGTCTACTTTGCAGATTGTGGGCTCAACTTCACCTCATCACCATACAAACCAAGTGGGGAATGCCTTGCAGCTAATCAAGAAAACATCAATGAATGGGACAGTTTCCCTACCACAAGATGCTGCCAAAATGTCCTCAACTTCTTCTCACAAGCATTGGCCAAACAGGCAATTACTCAACAAGGAAACCTCTTCCTCCAACAAGATCAATGGGAACATTGCTCTGGACCCTTTAAGCACCAACCTTCTGTTTCCATCGAAAACTGTGGCTTTGGTTCCCTTTATCAAGAAAGCAGCAAATGTTCTAGTCTATCTTTGACAAATGTTTTACAGGATGACAATTTTAACGATGTCAGGGACAAGTGCACTGGATTCGGTTCCTCGTTCGATGATGCTTGCAGGAATTGTGCTGGTGCCATCAAATCTGCAAGGGATCATTACTTGGATCAGTTTTATGCCAGAGATAATGATACTGAGAGAGCTACTTGTGTTATGGCTGTTGTTATTTCGGTTGCTACCACAAAATTAAATGATCCCTCTTCTATGGATGATTTCTTCTCCTGTTTACCAGCATTAAACTCTTTAGGTAAGACCACACATTTTTTTAAATTTTGCTTGATTACCAATATAATATATATGTTGGTACTTGTGTAAATGGATAATCTTAATTTCATGTAGTAACTTTACTGCTATAGTGAGTAAAGTATAGTGGAAAAGGTATAGTGACTTTATATATTGTTATAGTGGTAAAGTTCAGTTGCTTTAATGTGACAAAATATAGTTATGTAACTTTTACTGCTTATAGTAGAAAAAGCTCACGAATCGTACGTGGGGTTAGATTATCCTTATAGGACGAAGGAATAGTATGTGTTTTATTTCTGATGGTTAATTTAAAGTCATTGTTTGAGGATAGTTACTAGTTTTAATTTCCAATGTTAACTACAGTAATTATCTTCTATGTTTGTCTTTCTTTGTACAGAAAAGTCAAGTGAAGATTACATTAAAATCAAGTGTAAGTATGAGTTTGACAATGTAGCATTGTTTTCATAAGGTTTTTGGTAAACAAATATGCATGTACCATTCTAACAAAAATTGCAATCTCATCACAGATTCTTTAGCGAAAGCATTGATTGCAATCGTTTTAGCAGCATTTGGGATGATAATGGTGATCATGCTAGTTAAGTATGTAACAAGAAACGCTAGAGCTGGACGAAAGCTTGTTCTTTCAAAACCAAAGGAACTTGCTTCTTGCCCAGGTCTATATAGTTTCTCCAAAGCTGAGATTGAAAATGCGATAAATTTCGGGGAGGAGAAGAAATTTCTGGGACGTGGTAGTGCAGGGCAAGTGTTCAAAGGGATTCTACCAAGTGGACAAGTAGTTGCTATCAAGCAAATATATAGAAGTAATACCTCCGATTCTTTTACACGAGAACTCCAGAATCTTTCCAGAGTCAGACATCCTAATCTTGTTTGCCTCTTTGGTTGTTGCATTGAGGATGGGGAGCAATATTTAGTGTATGAGTTTTGCTCTGCTGGAAATCTAGCTCAACATCTTTTGAGTAAGTAGTTTTACTTTTCTTTCCCATCCTTTCAATGTGTGTTGACTTTGATAAAAAGAAAAAATTTTGTCAAATTTTAGGGAAAGACAAGGTCTTAACTTGGAAACAAAGGGTAAATATCTTGAGAGATTGTGCACTTGCATTGAGATATCTCCACCACAACATAGATGGCTGCATTGTTCACAGAGATATTAAGGTTGGAATATATATATATAATTTCTTCTTTTCCTATTTCTTGTCTTTGGTTATACTATTAATTGTCAATACTTATTCTCTTCCCCCTTTTTGGTATAGCTTACAAATATCCTGTTAACTGAGGATTTGCAAGCAAAGCTATCAGATTTTGGGTTGGCAAGGATGTTGGGAATGGAGGAGAGCAGAGTGTTTACAGATGTTATAGGAACAATAGGATATATGGATCCTGAATATATGAGTAATGCCAAGTTGACTTGTGCAAGTGACATTTATAGCTTTGGTATTGTAGCTTTACAGGTTCTTTCAGGGCAAAAAGTGATTGAACTTGATTTGGATGCCAGAGATCAACTAACAAGAAAGGTATGCGTTTCTTTAACTCAGTAAACGGCAGCCCGGTGCACAAGGCATCCCTCGTTCACGTAGGGTCCGTCCGGGAAGGGCCGCACCTCAAGGGGTGTTTTGTAGAAAGCTTACGCTGCTTCCACGGCTCGAACCCGTGACCTAAAGGTCACACAGAGACAACTTTACCGTTGCTCCAAGGCTCCTCTTCCGTGTTTTCGACTCAGTAATAATATCAATTACTCTCTGCCTTCTTTTATCCGATGCAACATTCTAAGGATGACGTTGAAGGTTGATAACATGATATGTTGAAATTGTCCTCCAAATTTTCGGTCATTTTCTCGTGCAATCAAATGATTTTTCGATAAGTACTGAAGGTTGATATATTAGCTCACCACTTATAAATTCTTTCAACAAAAATTGAACATGTGAGGACCTTTTAATTTATTCTTGAGGGGTTCAAGTGATACTTTAGGTTCTGTTTAACCATTGAAAATCAATCAAGCAATGTTTATACGGGAATTCATGTTGAACCGCTAAGAGCAATATATCCACAACATGAGTTTGGTAAAAATAAGGATGTCGCAATAAATGTGTAGTCATGCAAGATTAGATAAGATCAGAAAATATCACATCTAATATAAAGTGCAAGTAACTAACGAAAATTAAAGAACAAAATAGAGAAGACAGTCTGAAATAGTTTGATCATGACCTATGTAGATCTTGAAATATAACATATATCCATAGGTGCATGATGATTGAACGTTCTAAACGCAGACGAGGTAATAAAAATCAAATAGAGGGGATATGTCTTGACAGACCTAAATCGCTCGCAATCCATGTGGACTTAGAATAATGGCTGGGATGGGTTTAATGCAGGCAAAGGACGTGAGCATGGGTAAAAGGCCTCTAAAAGACTTTGAGGACCCTAGGCTTAAAGGGCAGCTCAACAGTGTTGATTTCGAGTCCATTCTCCAAATTGCAGTGCTTTGTGTCGCCAAATCAAGCAAAGGCCGTCCCACTATTGAAGTTGTGTTCGAAGAGATGGACAAAGTCTGGAAAAACACATCGTCTGACGAGGTAATCAAAAACAAGAAAACACTTTGATCGCTGGAATGTCGATTTCTTGGTCTCAGTCTTCTAGCTTTTGGGGTTAAGTTAGGGCTCAACGTTAATTTCGTTATCAGTTCTAACTTGTCTTTGTGTTTTCAGAAAGCGGCGGAGCAAAGTGCAATAGCTGCAACGCGAAGATCCCATTCAGTGGGTGTGGGAGTCATCCCTGTCTGAAACATATTAACAAAATGTCATGTTTAAACGTTCGTTTTTTCTGTTGGGAGCAAACTATTCCTTCTTTTCTTTTTTTCTCTTTTTCCATTTTAACATCGATCAGACAGCTAGCAAAGCTGCTTCCATGGAAATCCTGAGAATATTTGTGATTTGTTGTATTACTATTATGTGGGTGTAAATTGTTGATAAGAATGAGCCATTGTTGTGGTCTGTTGTACAAAAGAATATTCTTCATTCTTGAGTAATCATTTTCCTCTATTGGGACATATATATATATATATATATATATATATATATATATATATATAATGTGTTTGCGCATGTGGCGAGACAAGGCAGGAATATTATTATGCGCGTGCGGTGAGACAAGGCGAGCATTTACTTTATTGTTACGCACGTGGCGAGACACAGGGGCTATGTCAGGGATGATTTGTGATGGTCTGGGGGCATTGTTATTGATGATATTTGTGTAGTGGTGTGCCTACCTTGTGTGAGTTATGCATTTTATGTTTTGTTGTGTTGTTTCCTAGGTGTCATTCATTGTCTTTGCTCTTACTTGTTGACTCCAGTTGATAGAATACTTGCACAAGCATACATGTAATTAATCACTCATATCGGTTTAGGAAGATGAATGCTGATGTTTATTATTCATTTATACGTATTCTCTTGCCTTTTGTGTGAGAGTTGTACTATTGGCACGTGAGTTGTCCGTACATAAATGAGGTGTTAATGGAATTGGCACGTGAGTTGAACGTGCAGCGCGTGAGTTTTCCATGCTTTTGTGATTTATAATATGGGCACAAGATGCCAAGTGAAAGGGTTCGTGAATTGGGACCCGTGATTTATGATTATGAGGTGTGGTACCTCAGGAAAATTCTTGAATAAATCATCTGTGAAAGTGGTTGTTCTTATTGAGTTGTTACTTGTTTTCCTTACTTGGTTTCACCGGACTTAAATGATATTCAGCTTACTCTACGGTGTTATTACCTGTTTGTTCCATGTTGCTAATTGTTGTTTCATGTTTTCTACTGCGAGTGTTGTTTGTTGTTTTTACCATGCTTAGCTTTATATTGATATTGTTCTATGTTAGTTTAACATTCATACTTGTACAGGTTATTAAGTCTAGTAGGTGTCTTGACTATCCCTCGTCACTACTCCACTAAGGTTAGTCCTGGTACTTTCTGGGTACCACTGTGATGCACTCATGCTACGCTTTCTGCACTTTTTTTGTGTAGATCCAGGTGCTTCGCAGTTGTTGATCATTAGCTAGTTGATCGGGCATTGCTGTGGAGACTCAAGGTATACCTGTCGTCGCGTTCTCAGGCCGCAGAGTCACCTTCTGAAGTTATTTTGTACAGTTTATTTCTATTCCGGAATAGTTGTACTTAGAAATTTCCTAGTGAACTCAGTAGAGCTTATGACTTGTACTACCGGTTTTGGGATGTTATGTATCTACCTTGGATTGTTGGCTTATTATAGAAATTATGTATCTACCTTGGATTGTCGGCTTATTATAGAAATTTCACTTTCATGCTTAATAGTTATTTGGTTAAATCTGTTATTAAATCAATAAGTGTTGTACTTACCTACTTGTAGAGACTAGGTGCCATCACTACATCCTACGGTGGGAAATTGGGGTCGTGACAAAACCTCGGGCATCAAACTATGGAGAAGGTCAAGATCATTAAGGAACGATTGAAAACTTCTCAGACTCATCAGAAGTCCTATTCGGATGTGAGTAATAGAGATTTGGAGTTCAAAGAGGATGATTGGGCATTCTTGAAGGTTTCCCCTATGAAGGGAATAACGGTGATTTGGGAAGAAAGAGAAATTGAGTTCAAGGTATACCAGACCATACAGAATCTTGCAGAGGGTTGGCCAAGTGACCTATAAGCTGGAGTTACCTCAAGAGATGTCCTTAGTGCACCTGGTTTTTCATGTGTTCATGTTGAAGAAGGTGGTTGGAGACCCGTCGCTCATCGTTCCGGTTGAGACTATTAAGGTTAATGAAGAATTGACTTATGAGGAGATTCTGGTTGCCATCCTTGATAGACAAGTTCGAAAGTTGAGGAATAAAGAGATTGCGTACGTGAAACCAACAAGTTGAAGACAGCCACCAGGGAGGCCGAGGAAGAAATGAAGAGGAAACATCCTCACCTATTTGTGTAATCATATTGTTGTGCTTACAAAGGAATATTAGCAGCTTACCTTTTATGAATTTTGTTCAACTTGTATAGTTTGTTCTAAATGCCCCTTTTACTTATATAATTCTTACGAGGTTATGGTTGGTGTTATTTTCATGCTATGTTACGTCATTGGATTATGAATATTTAGTTAGGATTGGTTTCTGGGGCTCTCTGACAGCTGGATAGGCCTAATTATAGGGAAGACTCTACGGAAAGTTTTGGACATTTGGGGAGTTAGTCAAATTTGGAACTTTTGGTGTGTGAATGAAGAGTCGAGTCACATTGGGTATCTATGGCGGACTTTGACCTTCATTGGAGAACTAATGATCTTAAGCGGGTTAGGATGTAAGGCCCCGTAAAAATTTTCCAAGAATTTGGGGTTTCATGGTTCCGAGGTAGGCTAATATGTTTCAAAGGTTGTAGATAAAGCTCGCAGCAGTACGACCTTTTGGGTTATGCAATGCATTGTGGAGTTGGTGGAAATTTCTGTAGAACATGGCGTTTCTACAGTCCATTATGTGACAGCAGAACTGATCCGCTGGCTGCAGATCCGCCATAGAGTGGACTAGGTAAAGCTTAATTTTGAGGGCTATTCCGCGGTCAATTATGCTGCCGCATAACTATTTCACGGGCCGCACCTCCATCGTAGAACCAGTATGAATATTTCCTTGAAGGAATTTTTAGGGTCCATTTCATAGCCGTAGAAGTGATCTGGGGGCTGCATATTGGGCCATGCCAGCCCAATTTTGGAGGATAATTTAACGATCCCTTTTGCAGACTGCATACCTGTTCTATGGTGCATTCTATGATCGCATAATAGCTTTGGAGGGTCCATTTTGTGTATTTTATAACCCGAACCTATTTTGATTTTAAAAGCCATTATGGTCGTTTTGAAGTTAAAAATCTACCATTTTAGAGGGAGGGGAATAAGTTAGTTAGAGAGAGAGAGTGAGAGTAGTGAGTGAGAGTAGCTCAATCACTTCAACACTCCCCTCTTTGATCAAGCTTGGAAATTCAAGGGCAGAACTCATAAAGTCTTCTTCTAAGAGGTAAGGTTCTACCCCTAGCTCTCAATTTTGAAATTGGGCTGAATATAGGTAGTTGGAAGTATGATTCTTGAGGGTAGGAGTTGGTCATTTGTGCATGCATGTACCAAAAAAGATGGTGGGGAGGTTGTGGAACTAATATTGGTGAGCTATTGATGTGGGGATTTGTTGCGGGGTGAAGAATCACCAGCATTGGACCTTGTAGTCGAATTTGCACCCCTAGTATTTGATGAATTGCCTAAATGAGATGAACCTATGAGCACCTTCCTAACTATGGCTCAATTTTGTTGTGCCTCTATAGACGATATAATAATAGGACACATGGGGAATCAAGAACACTGGCACCCCTCGTACTTCTAAGATAGAGTCATATGTGAAAGTTCTGTGTTTGCTCGTTTCGTTTGTATCATATGGATCACGCCAAAAGGAAAGAAGGGATAGACTTAATATATCTTATCAAAATCTTTCTGCTAACCAAGTTGAACTCCTCTCTTCGCACTTCAATCTACAGTAACGATAATAATAATGATATCGTTAAGCTACGAAAGATGCAACTATCGTTCAACGAACAACAAGCGTATTTTTATATTAAAATGGGAAACATCTCCCCTATTTTCCTTACTTTACGAAGTCCATCAACCAAAATGAACCCATACTACCTTCACCTATATACTTTCAGCGCCACAACACAAACCAAGCTACCCAACAACAAGTGCATAAACATCACCAATGAAACTACTATTTAACACGACAAACGGCAAGTTCGGATTGAATCCCTTTTGAACCCTTTAACCCCAAAGTCATTCATTCATTAACTTAACAATATAGCCAGCATGATATTAAGTACAATGGGAAGACTTCTATTCTCCTATTCATCTCCTAATTCACCCTCAGCCCAACAATCTAACAACAAGAACAAGTACAACTTTCCATTGTTATGTTATCCATTCTCTTCATACTCACAGTACCAACGACATGTTCGACATGTAGACAATATTTTATAATAAAAACATCATAAGATAGTCATTTTCAAGAGTTTCCAACAATTTATAGTTCATGGAAATAACCTTTTGCAGAACAGCCCATTGAAAACAATAATATCTCAAACTATTTTAAGTCTTCTCTTGCAGTATTTTGCTCAAATAATGCAACCAACACGCAAACAACTTCAAGAACATGTAGTAGGATGTTATACTCACCTTAACCAGTAGAAACAACACGAAATTTCAGTAAAGCACATCCCACAACTATCCTCAATGACACCACAACACTATAGTTGTTGTATCTTCTTCATGAATCAACTTTTGGTCTTCAAGTTGGTGTGTAAACACTTGTAGTTTGCCTTTTCTAATATATATGAAGGAGGTACTGATTATTACCACAATCAACAAGAAAAACACGAAATCTGAGGCTACTTACCTTTGAAGAACCCTCCAAAACAACCATAAGATAAAGAACTACGATCTAGCAAGCAACACGGGATTTCTAGCGTTGGATTCATGTTTTTATCTTAGGTTTTCACCCTAAAATCATGGAGGAACACTTGGTAGAATGTAGGAGGGTTTAATAACTGTTTTGTACGAGAAATATGAGTTAAAATGACTTAGTATTGACTTAAATACAAGCTGGAGTTTAATACCGACATTGTGGGTCCCATGGGAGTTGTTTGCACAGTCTCGTAAATATGCAAATATCTCTCTACTTCGATATCGTATCAACAAATTGTTAAATGAATTAGGAACTAGACTTGTAGATCTTTAACTTGATAGGTCGATCACCCCGTAATTCCACGTATATTTGGAGAAAAACTCAGCTACATTAGACCTATTTTCAGTATATTTATAAATGTAACTTGTGATGACCTTTGCCAACTTTTGTTCTACAACTCGCTTGACTTTAAAAGATAACACACGACTATCATATGACTAAAATAACTCATAACATAACTTCCTTATAATGTTAAGCAACCTAGTCTCACCCCAAAAGTCCATGTTATAACATTCCCAACTTGTC